CTTCCCCTCGGCTCGGAGCTCCTGGCTTGCCAAGCAGCCGTGAAGGCAGCGAGTGCGGAGGCAGTTTGTGCCTCGGCGGGCGGATAAAGCAGCTGTCCGTGCCTGCCAGCATCTCTCACGCACGTTACAGCTCTGTGCACTGGGAGCAAAGCGCAGGACAAAGCTCCCAAGCGCCACCCCAGCCTTACTCCGAGCAGCTGTTCCTCAAGGGCCCAAAACCCTTTTGACAACCTTCCAGCTCCAGCTTAAGACTTCTCCGCTTGGAAGGGCAGCTGAGCTCTTTAAAGATCCAGCGCCACCCCAAAAGAACCTGAAAAAAATAAAAAATAAAAGGAAACCACCCAAGGAATCTGAAAGCCGTTTTGCTGGTGCTGCTGCAGGCTGGTTTGCCTCCTCCCTATTAGTAACTGATAATAATAACTGATAACTAATGGGTAAAAACAGGCTCTGCTCCTCCGTAAAGGAGAGCAAGGTTCTGACCAGGATAATAGGGGCACGAGCCCACGTTTGAAGGAGGCTGTTTATCAGGTCGAGGCACCGCGTGCTCCGCATTTTTATAGTTTCGAAGCTGTGTGTGTATAAATCCACATTTAGCCACGACCATAAAACCCAAGCACAGAGCCCAGCCTGACAAGGATGGCCAATAACCGCTCGAAATGCTCCAGAAAGGGGCATTAGGAAGGTTTTGAGATCGATACAGACATAGCCAGAGGCGTTCCTCATCAAGGCTGGCAATTAACATGCAGAATGAATTGATGCCTTCGGAGCGCCGCCGCTCTCCGGGCCAGGCACGGTGTGAGCGTGTCAATGCTATTACAAACGCAGTGGGATCGCCTAAAACCGGTGGCCATCCCATTTTGCAGAAGGGTCCCCGTGTAGGAGAAGTTGTAACGACTCCATGAACCTCTCGACTGCACACATGAGACTCCGGCTGAATATTGCTGCCATGAATCACGACGGGCTCCGCGGCCGGAGAGGTTTATAGAGCTGCGCTCCTTCATGGTTCCTGCTCTGGGAGAGGGGACAAGGAGGAAAATTACGGGGAATTTACAGCAGCAAACCGCTCCACAAGGGGTACAGGGAGGATTTCTGCCCCTCGGTGCCAGGGCTGGAGCTTCAGCGTTCAGAAATACCTCGCCACATCCCAAATGGGTACATGGAGGCTTCCCCGCCGGCTGCGCAGCCCAGAACAGCCCCTAAAGGCAGTGCAAATCACACCAGCTGCTGCTCCCCGAGCAAGTGGTGCACAAACCTGCCACAATTTCAGAAGGAACAGGGCAAAGAGGGGATTTTCTGGCTGGAGGGACACAATGAGATGACAGAGGCAAGCAATACCCGCACTGCTGCATCGTACAATTCAACAATTCAACTCATGTCCTCTTTTTTTTATTGCTCTCTAAGAGGTTTTGGCTCTTCTTTTATCTCAACAGCTCCTCTCCTTCCTTTCATCAGGAGTTTATTACATCATTACGGGATTTTAACTGCCTGTGCCCTGATGAAAGAGACGCGGCACGGACAAGGTCTGCTTCTCCTCTCGTACAGGCGGCAGCAGCCCCGGTACACAATAATTCCCTTTGTAGGGGAAAAAAATGAAACACAAGTGGGCAAAATGAGAGCCTCAGAAAGGAGGCAGAAAATTAAGAGTAGAGATTGCGTGATGCTACTGAAACGAGCCCAGGAGGGGGGTCTGGGGGCAGTGCTGGGGCTGGCACTGGCGGTGCCACCAGCACACCCGCCTGTCCTGCCCGAGAGCCTCCCCAGCCAAAACATCCCGGGAGCCTTAGCCAGAGGGGCCTGCACAGCGCTGCAGCTCAAATTTAAGGAAAAAAAATACAAATTATACATAGCAAGGCTTGTCCATGCTGTCCCCAAACAGCACGGCTCATTAAAGTGAGGAGTTTAATGAAATTTCATTGCTTAAGTGCACGATTTCCAACACCAGCTTTTTTTTTTCCCCAACTACTATCCCCATCTGGAGTTACTTACTGCACATCTGTGCAGGAGCACCCCAGTGCCATTTCCCAAATCTCACCCTTCCAAAAGTCAGCCAAGTCATTAAAACAAACCCTGCTACCCCTGAATATTTGGGACTGAGCCGTGTTTAGAACCAGATGTGCGCCACGTCCGTGCCCCGGAGCGGGCGATGGCTGAGGCCGGTCCCAGCCCCTCGGTGCCACGAGATTTAGCACTCGGCGGCCACTTTGCTGTAACCTCCTGTGCCACAACGCACCTAGAAATCACTTTTTCGGACACAGGAGATCTCTCACCTGCAGCACAGCAGCAGGAATATTAAAGCAAAGCGAAGGAGGCTGGCTGGGAACATCGCCGCCCTCCCACTCGGCTCCGTAATCTGATTTGGAGCGCCGTGAATCATTGCGCACCAGGACGCCGGAGAAGCAGCGCGCCTCGCTGTTCAATATCCAGCTTGTGGCAGAAGCATGAGTCACGGCTCAGATTGCGAGGTGCGATGCCGTATGTAAATCCTTTCTGAGAACTAACCCCGGCACACCACGCACGTAGCTGCGATTTAAGGGGCCAGGCGCAGACTCCCAGCTCTGCAGAAACTGCAACTTTTGGCGACCCCGCTCAAAAAGTTTTTCCCCCCGATTTTGGAGACCCAAGCGTGCCGAGCCCTGGGTGAGGCTGTGGGGTGGGGGCAGCCCCCAGCACCCCGCTGCAGGCAGCACGGCCCCATTTAGCAGGAACTAAAGCCTAGCAGTGACCCCAGTCACTAAACACCGAGTCTAGGCACACATTTTCACTGCAATTCATGCCAAATCCGCCCATACTCCATTCCACATGGACATGCAGAGACACATCCATTACTCCATACACCTCAGCACCTCCCCTAAAATCCCATTCGGAGCCACATCAGTGCCTGCAATGGGGTGGGAAGATGCCCTGCTCTGCCCCGCTGCAGGACAGCATCCGCGGGGAGCCCACGGAAATGGGCAGGAGGAGCAGAACAGCCCCGGGCACGTGTGGTGCCTGGGTGGTGCCGGGCTTCCCCGCTGCAAACCGAGGGACTCAAGTGATGGGGAGGCACAGAGCCACCCCAGACACGCTGCTGAGAAGAAAAGCAGCAAGATTTTATTTTCTTTTCTCCCAAACAAATGGGTGAGGGGCAGATCTAGCCATCGCATTTCCTCCATCTCCCTTTCTAGAGGTCTAACCCAAACCTCCTCGCCTGTTGGTTACCCTCAGCAGCTGCAAGGCTCCCACCAACCAGCCGTGACCACGCAGTTGTTTTTGCTCTCACGCAGCCAAGTTCAATCCATCCAAACCTCCAGCAGCAGAGACACGCAGGGCTCTGGGGAGCTGCGTTTTTATGCTTCCTCCCCTCACTTCGACAGCAGTCCCCCTGCTCCTCTCCTCGCTGCCATCCCCAGAAGACAACCACAAAACAATGCAGCTTTGGGATTTTTTTTTTCCCCTGTTTTGTTTTCGCAGCTTTAGCGACTTTAAAACATGTAAATACGAAGCAAGGGTCAATGATTCAACAGTGATTAAGTATGAAACATTCCAGTTAGTACCCATTAGGCTTGGAAGATACCCATTATGTTCCCAAAGCGTTCCCAAGAGCACAGCCAAGCAGAGCCCAGCGCTGGGGAAAGCTGCCTTCTTGGAAGGCCTGATGTGCCTTGTGAAAACACCGACTTCATTTCGGTAAGCAAAAGAATAACAAGAGACAATAAAAGAATTAACATATTGTAGATTCTTAATGCCATTTCCCCGGAGAGAGGAAAAACAAGCGAGCCTAATGGAAATTTTCTGTTCTCAAAACCATTTGCACTGTTGTTGTTTGCAACGATGAGAGAAGAAGAAAGCATAAAACCCAGCAGCTTAACTTTCTGAAAAATCGCAGGGCTATCTACTTTTTTTTTTCTCGAAGAATAAAATTAAATTGCGTCTGGGATGTAAAGCTCCACCTGACAAAATCACAAATAACCTGCAACAGCCTTACAGACTGCAGGGCTAGAGCAGCCTTCAAGCTTGAGCTTCTCCCAGGAGCTACGAGACATCACGGACCTGAAGCCCGCTGAGTCTAGCACGAAACTTCCTTCCATCCCTTTGGAAAACTCCAAGCTGATATTTCAGATCCTGAAGAATCCTGAGGATTTGAAACACTTCATGAAGCACGCAATTAAGCAACGCAGTTAAATAACAGAGCCTGGTTGCACCACTCTTTGCAAGAAGGATCATTTCCTCATCTCAATCTGCTCCCAATCATACTCGAGATATTGTAAACTGCTAGTTTCGTTTTTCTCCAGCCAAGAAAAAGCAGAGGAGCAATAAGATTAATTCACCAAATTACGTTTTCTTTGCCTACTGTTAAGCAGCAGGACAAGAGGCAGGCAGCTGGGCACGAAGGGGGCCGCCACCGTCCCCAGTGCGCACCCTGGAGCTGGGACACCCAACAAGGTGCCACCACCTCGAGCAAGAAGTTCCCTCTTTAAAAGCTATGTGAAGAGGAGATAGCTGCCAATGAGATATTTTATATTCCACGCTTTGGCAGGTACAGTGCTATTAACCTCCAAAAATAAGGAGTGATGACACGATGGCCAGTCCTCATCTACAACTGGGGAGGGCCACCACGGGTCAGAGTTTGGGGCACCTTCAAGGTGGCACCACTCGGAGAGGGCACGGTTAGAGCTCGCTGCACCCACGCTCCAAATCAGCTTATTTCAAGAGAAGCTGATGATTTCATTTCCCTGGTGAACGAGATATCTAATTATCAATAATTCACAGGCACAGACAGACGTGCAAGTGGTTTTGAGAACCGGAGGAGAAACAGAAGCAACGATTCCTGGAACGAGAGCCAGCACAGAGACAGCTCCAGAGAGGGGAGAGGAGGTGCACTCCGCATGCACGTGTCAAAGCCAATCCAATTTCAATCACATACGTTACATCTAGGTGCCAGCTTAGCGGGGGGCTTTTCCCCTGCGCGCTCTGCGGTTGGTATATGACAGGATGCTTGCCTGGATGGTGCCCAGCTCTACCTATCCGGATGGACAACTCGCTCTCGTAGTCCAGGCGAGAGGCAGGCTCCTGCTCGTGTTTCTCTTTCGCCGCTCGCGGGTCGTAGCTCAAGGCAAATGCCGCGTGGGGGGGTCCGCTGAAACCCTGCAATGCAAGAGACAAATTCAGGCTTTTCCCACATCTTCCCAGCCCCATCCTCAGGGAGCACCACGAGGAGATGTTACGTGCACAACCACCGTGTTATTGCGGTGGAATTTGGCCAGAGGGGCCCGTGAACTTCAGTCTCGTTTGGAATATGTTCCTGTACCCGTTGTAATCCCAAAAAAAACGGAGCAGAACGGCCAAAAGCAACACTGCCCAGCTATGTGTAATGTCTGCAGGGAACCGAGCAGCACCCTACAGAGAGAGGCATCCCGTGAGCAATCCCTGCCAGCCTGGACACAGCTCGTGAGAACCTGCTGTGACCTCAAGGACGTGCCAGAGCCTCCAACTGCATCAGCCAAAGGAAACCTGGAGGACACCAGCTCTGCCCTCCCCACTGGCATGGGGACACACAGAGGTAAGATCCGAGGCGCTGGGTGCCCCCAGGCTGCTCAACCCAAATGGAGCCCAAAATTCCCGACCCCTGGAAGGGCTGGGGCTTTTGGAGCAGCACCAGCAGCATGCACAGGATGGATGTTTGGATTGTGCCTGGTGTCACCAGCCGGGAACATTGGCTCAGCTGGCAACAGAACAAACGGACGTGCCCCGAACAGCCAGAGGCAGTAACGGGAGACTCGTCGGGTAAGGTCACATTAAACAAAAATAAAGGTTAAAGATGAATAACTAAACCGTCTCTTCTCCCATCATTTGCATAATATCGTCTGACCAGCACTATTAATACTCATGACGGATCCGCTGCCTGCTCCCTCCTGCAGTTTAATCAGGGTGCTTTCACCTCCTTTAACCCAGCAGCTGCGCGGGGTGCTCGAGGTTGAACCCGCTGGAAAAAGGCAGAGTACTGCCCGGGGAGGAACTGCACACAGCTCGTGGAGGAGCTGAAATAGAGGACTACGGGCTTTATCCTGCACAACCTGGATGGCTCGTCACCGAGAGAAAAAATGGGAATTTCAGCAGCACGACCCAACGTGGGGTAAGATGGGAAGAGACCAAGAACGCAAGCTCGTGGGCATGTCCTGCTGCTGGCACCCCTGCAGCTCGGTCTCCTTGCTCCTGAGGAAATACCAACAGCACACCAACCCGAGGAGAAACAAGGACGGGCACCTTATTGAAGAAGCTACAGGCACCGTGGCAGCAGCTTTGCACACTCCATCCCCACCAGATTCGTGCATCTCCTCCCCCAGCTCCGTGCCGCGCTCTCGGCGCACCACACGGTCACCAATATGATCCCCAAGGATGTGCTTACACCAACGCGGAGGCAAACTCGAAGATATTTCGGATTTCTATTGCCAGGTTAAGTCACCTCCCCGTTGGCGGGCACAGACACGCAGCTCCATCAATTTGGAAAAATATTAGTGACCTTCAGCGAGGCACGCGATCCGTTCCAACCGTGATTGCTCTGAGTCATCTCAGTCCGGTCCCTGCATGAGGCCCTTAATTGGAATGTGTCAGTGGGTTAAAAATGCATTAGGAAGAGAAGAGGAAAGTCAACCCGCGTTAATTAGTTCATGCCACTAATTAGTATTAACTGAAATAACCACGGGGGCTGATTATTTCGGAAAGCCTGATGCAACGAGAGACTTGGACAGGAAGACCTGGAGAGCTTGGAGGAAAACTATTCTGGGACGAGGGAGTCCCCACCGCGCTCGCTTCTGTTTGCGGAGATACAGCAGGAAGGTCATTAGATTTTCATAGCCCCTTTTAAAGAAAAAAAATAAATAAATAAGCTCTTTTTCTAAAAAAGCATCCTTGCAGACGGCAAAGAAAACCCCGCCCCACGCAGCACTCGTCTAAATAGGCAGAACGTGCTTTTGTTATCAGAAAGCCAGAGCAATCCTGAATTAATTTGTATGGAGACATGCCCCGTTCCTGTTAGCACCCCGGGTGACGCAGCAGTCACCGGGGAATTGATTTTCTCTGGTCAAACATCCCGGAGCTGCTGTTATCGATGGCGCACCGCCCCGGCACACGGCAAGGATTGCTCACCCGCAGCTTTCACGGCCCTGCCCGCTCCTCCCACGCTGCCTCCACCCTGCTCTCGGTGAGCTGTGCCGTGATAAATACCCAATAAATCAATCGGGGCATCCATTTCCACCTTGGCACACGATGTCCACCCCAGGAGGTGCTCAAGGTCCTGCAAGGCACGAGGCAGCGCCGTGCCTCAAACGGCAAATCCAAAGGGTGCCTCGTCCTGCTCCCCAGCCCCAACCCTACCACTGTACCAGGATTATTTACTGTCCCTCGCACAGATGGGGTGCTTTGACCCCTCTGGGTTTAAATCAGAAGGTTTTTTCCCCTGGGGGAGCAGTTGGTGGGTGCAGGGATCCCCGAGCGAGGTGGAGGTGGCTGAGAACAAAGCGGTGCCGCTGCCCTCGCCGTGCCGCAGCCCTACCCCTGCACCTCGCCTCGATCAAAACCCAGCACGTATCTCTACTTATATGGACAGCAGCACTAAAAAGGGATGCACTTCAAAGCAGGAGCAAAGCCGCCAGCTGTAAAACTGAGATATTTGGGCAAGGGCCTCCCTCTGAAAGACAAGAAACAGGCGTTGTGCGCATCTATCGCTGCTAGGGCCGGGCTGGCGCTCCTGCGGGGCTGCACGTAGGGGCTCGGGATGGAGCACAGCAAATCCCATTTATTTGAGTGCCTTCAGCTGCTGGCCCCCAGGGCCAAAAAGCCACTCCAGCTGGAGACCTGAGCGCAGGACTCCTCATTCTCCTGGAAGCAGGCTCTCCGCAAAGCGACCCGTGCCAAGGACATGCAAATCCCCATGCCAATCCCTGCTGTATGGGACTGGCTTCTCCCCTTTTTCATGTTCTGCCTTCCGCAGGGCTAAGGGTTAAATCTGAAAGGAAGATGCATCAGCTTGCTTTTAGATGAAGCAAGAAAACCCCAGCCCTATCAGCCACGTCCTTCCCCAAGGATGTGGCGGTGGCTGGAGGAGAGGCGAGGAGCCCCCCAGCAGGGTCAGGCCCTCCTTGGATTCCCCTCACTGCCACGCCGGCCTCCAAAATTTAAACCCAAGGAGGAATGACAAGTGAGTGGCAGCTTTCAGAAATAATCTGTTCTTCCCCACCCAGCGAGTGAGAATAAATGGATAAGGAACTCGGGACACAAGCTCGGATGCTCCGGCTGTGTGCGGATCGCTGAGTGCCCGATGTGAAGGTGCTGCCTGGACCCACAGCTCGGGGAAGGTCGGAGCCACGGCGCTTCTGCTTTGCTTTCGTCTTGGATTTCTGCCCAGCAAAGCATCCTGGCAGGCCCGCAGCAGGCTCCAGCAAGCCGGAGGAGACAAAGCCCACAGCCCATCGGCCAGCAGCAGAAAGAGTTTCAAGGGGAAAGGGAAATGGAATGAATGGCACCGCCTTATTTAGCAAATAAATAACGCTCCCAACTCGTCCAGGAGCTAGCACGGAGAGGGAAATGAGAGGCAGCAACGAGCCACGCCGTGATGGTGCCCGGAGGCTCTCATTTCACGCTTATTAAAAGAGAGAAAGTGGTAACGGAGCGGAGAGCAGAAAGCGATTAAAGGAGAAGAACAAAGCGGGGCGGGGAGCCAGGAGGGGACTGGGGAGACCTGGCACATCTGCGGCCACCACGGACACAGCGTGGTCGCATCCTGCCTGCGCCTCGTCCTCGCTCAGCTTTGCTGCTCCTGCGCAGCGCCGGGAGCGGTACCAAGGCTGTGCAGCAGCAGAGCCACATGGCTCCACCTTGTCTCAGGCAGAGTCAAAGATCTGTAGTGAGAAATGTGAAATAGGGGCAGGTAGAAAGGACAACAGCTCCCGTAGAAAGTGCTCAGTTAGCAGGGAGGGAGCTTCCAGGGGAGCTCGGCTGGTGGGGCGCAGAATCCCCATGCCCTGTGCCAGCAGCACCTGAAAGAAAAAAGAAAAAAAAGGGCTTGCAGCCCACTGAAAGCTGCCACAGGGTGAATTGCCAGGGGTGGCTGCGCCCCCAGCCCTCCCCTGGCACCCATCGGTGCTCATCCGATGGGAAATTGGCTGCTCACACCGCTCCCAAAGTCACCCCGAGGTGTCCCCGGTGCGTGCCACCTCGGGGCGCAGCACCTGCGGCAGTGCGGCTCACCGCCCATGCTCTGCAGAGCCCTGCTCACTTAAAAATGCATTAAAAAAAAATAAATAAGCTGATGGCCACCTGGCTGTATCGATCCCAGAACGTCATTCCAGAACAAACACTGAGCCAGGGCTCCTTGCAAAGCACGACTGTGCCCCGCGTGGACCTCAAGTCCTTGGGGACGGGCGCTGCCTGCAGCTGGGGACGTGCCTGGGGCTGGGATTTGGTGCTGCCAGAAGCCTGCCTGCCCCCAGGAACGGCCCCAAAATGCACTCAGATGGCTCCGAGGTCCCCAGCACAGCCTCAGACGGAGCACAGCGTCCCAAAAAACAACCCAAACGAGCCCCTTCTTGAGGGAAATGGAGTTATCACAGTCAGCACTGAGCTGGCACAAGGGGACGGGGCGAGGGGAGCTGCTGGCAGGGACACCGGGAGCTCCTTCCCAAGCCAGGCACCGCTGGCAATCCGCCACCAAAAACACTGAAACCAACAACCCGAGCACAGCCTTAAATACTCCCTGCTGTGAAAAAAATATATAATAAATAAATAAAAAGCCTTTCTCGACCCTGAAGTGGGTGCAATCGTATTTATCTTTGGTAGCAGCTGACGCGCAGCTTCAGGACATAAGCAAACAGCTCGCCTTCATCGCCTGGCAGCCCCAAACGAGTCGATGCTGCCATTCTCTGCCACAAAAGCCCCGCGTTACACCTCAAATCACCAGCTGCTCACTACAGACATTATTTCCCCCCCCCCAAGCCCGCTGCCCTGCCTGGCACCCCCCTCCAGGGCACGTCGGAGGAAGGAGTTTAATAAGGGCCAGGTGAAAGAAACCCCCCAGTAACCCCACATCCACAAAGCCCTGCGTAATGAAGACATCTTCAAGGCAAATTTACTTCCTTAAACAAGATAAA